ACGTTGCAATTTTTATTCATAATTCAACTTAGTGTAGTAAAGATGCAGGGTGTGGATTCTGAATCTCCAGAATACGTGCACACATTGTACTTCTCCCCCATATGTCTCCCATGGTTTTCAAATATATTTTGACGTTAAATAAACAAAATAAATAAAAGTCACTTTTATTTATTAGAAAAGAAAACTTTTAACTGATTTATTTTTTTCGTAAACTGCTCAAATTGATTTAGTAACTTCCTTAACAAACAGCGGGTCCAATCCACGAAACATGAACTCAGGCCAACAATTTCCCAAAATTCAGACCTACAAGTAGGCATTGTAATGAAACTCGTAGACTATTTGGGTTTTATTTAAATAAACTGCATTCTGTCACCCTCTTAGGTATTGCCTTCCTTTTAGGTAGAAATGTTCAGTGAATTCCGAAGATAATAGGTAGAAAGCAGAGATACAGATAATTATAATTCAGAGGAACAGAGATAACGCAGTGCTTTAAAATAACTTATAATAATGGACTTCGGATGAAACGTTGGCCACATCTTAAGGAAATCTTATTCACTCTATTAAGAACGCATTCACTCTAAAAGAACTTGAAAATCCTTCATTCTACCTTTTTCTATAACAGTAATGGAAAAGACAAAAATGTGGACAGATGAATTTAATTGATGTGGTTTTTTGCCGCCCACGTACCACCCACATCAATAACGTACAACAAAATTCTATTAAAACGTCTCATATTAATAACAGATAATTTTCGGTGCGAAATATCTACCTTTATGATTTCCACACAACCTTCTGCATTTTTATTATACTTCTTAAATTCATTATTAATTCATACCGGAGCAACAGCACCCCACTCATCTGTCAATCTTTACCGGACACGCAATTAGTGCCATACAATTCCTAAGTTGAGTACTTGATCAACGAATTCAAATCTCGAACACAGTTTAAGGGGCAATAACCCTTGATCCACATCAATCAAACATCACACTCAATCAAGGGTCAGTGAACCCTTATTTCGATCTCGTTTTCGTCCAGTTTTCCTGTCCCATTAATCAAATATTGAGATGGTCCCTTGTTTTGCTTCTGGACATAAATGTAGCTTCACCATGTGCATGTTGTGTTGAGCTCAAACTATTGCTACCAGCGGTAGGTGTCGAGTATGGGTTAGTATTTTGTCAGAAATACTAAAAATCAAATCTGAAGTTCGTTTTCGGCTGCAAATGAGTTTTCTAAACTCGGAAGAAAAAATGTCTCGTTTTAAATCGTCGCTTTGTAAGTACTTTTGTTCATCATTCAACTATTTATGGTTAAAGGGTCAATAAAAGATTCTGCTCAAGACACCGTCCAGAGATTGTACTTCTCGCTTATAAACCACATGCCGTGTTTACTGCTCTTTCACGAATATAACTGAAAGCAAATGCGACGCTTGTGCCCTACAGAGACTCCGGCCACCGCCACCGAGCGCATCTCCTTCTCTAACAACGACGTGCACCTCAAGTCGCCCAACCAGATCACCATCAAGTGGGACCGCTTCAACTTGACCACCAACGGCAACGCACCGGTCCGCATCTCCTTGTGGGGCTACCGGGAGCCCAAGACAACCATGCCTCACCTCGTCTACATCGACACCATCGAGGTGAGCAACAACGCTCGAGCGAGTGGTGCTACACAATGGCACAGACGGATTTGTTTTTTATTGCCTTTGCTCTCGGCTAGCTACGAGTATTCAGACTTGCAATTTGACATCTATTGCTGCCCAAAATAATTTTTTGACATTTTATCAATTTTCGCTTTTCTAATAGTAGAACGGAAATATTACTTTCAGAATATTAAATTACAGCAAAACCTCGCCCTAAACGGGTATTTTCGTTGAAATATTTGAAGTCGTTTTTAAGAATATGATGTTTAAGTGTTAGAATGAACTCGAAATTTAATGCTCTTTTTCACATATTTTTTTTTAAAAATTTTGTTATAACTTCATTAAATGTTATTGGAAGCACTTTACTCACAAACAAACAAGTGTTTACAAATTGCTGAAAATGTGCATATTACCGGCGTGAGATATCTTTCAAACAAATTACATTTGTGTAATTTTTGAAAAAACAAAAAATACCCAAAAATAAATATTGCGTGTTAATAAACAGTGGAATTAGAACTATACTTTCGATAAGTTTGAAGAAAAAAATAGGGCCGTATGAGAAAATTGCATTTGCGCATTTTGAAAATGCTGAATTTTGAGCTATTGCAAATAACTCTGATACGAAAATGACTATTTTTCAAATACTGGTAATCTTGCGATTTTTTAAATTTATTTTTAAAATTTGTTTTCATTTATTTATGTTAAAATTTTACTAATCTTTCAACTATTTATAGTTAAATGACGGGAAGGGATTCTGGAACTCATGCCACGCATTTAAAAAATCCTTTAGCAAAATTTTACTTTTTTCAACTCCCTGTCCCCTGTCCCCTGCCTCCGCAACACTTTCTCCCACCATTTCTTCCCCAACTTTTAATCACTTACCCTACCCTCATAAGATGAACTTTCGATTTCGTACCTCCTTCCTGAATGAAATAAAAGTAACGTAACCTAGGGATAAATTAAAATTGGGTGGTTCATATAATTATATTTTATAACAATTCTTTAAAGTTTAATGTTTTCTGTTTTAGATACTTTCATGAGAATTTGTAGATTAACATTAATGTTAATGCATAGTTTGAAGTTAGTAATATAATATTTTTTGGAAAACATGGCAAGAATGTTTATATTTCATTTGCCCCCTCCACCTTAAACGCAAACATATTGTTTGAATGCCTCTATATGAAAGTTAAAAGATAAAACTAAAAATTAGAATAAGTATCATTTAATGTGTCACATTGCTAATATGACACTCCATACATTACTTCTAATGTTTTATTCCGAGTATACAAATATGGTTCAATATTGTAAAACAGGCAATAAATGAAGCTAGACTCAATGTTTTTATCTTTCATGCGCGTTTTCTCACTTTCTGATTAAGCAATTGGTTTCAATGTTATAGGAAAGCATCTCTAATCAGGGAATGTATACTATACATCCTGCCAACTATCGTAACCGTAACAATGTTGGGACCAATGACATTCAGTTTGGATTTATTCATATCAATTTGACAAATCCCGAGCAGTACCACGGACTCACCATCTCACCGTAAGTACCTTGCTCCATTGTCTAAGGAAATCCTACAACGTACTTGATAATATATTTTAAGTAACTATCTGCTTGAAATCATTGGAAGAAAAGTGATAAAAAACATAGCAAAAACGTGGGAATTATGCAAGGTTGAAATATTCTAACTGCATTAGATAAGAATATAATTCCATTTAAAACATGTCCACTCCACATAACTAGTAATTTTTTGTTGTAGTGTGTTATGGAGTAAACCAATTCCCTTGGCATGGTACTTTGGACCGCAGTGGGAACGAAAGTATGGTACACGTTGGCCAGTTGAGATGTGTAACAACTGGATTAAGAACGATCGATTTCTGAAGAACTTCGCTGCTGAAATTCCACAGTGCCCTTGTATTTTGGAACACGTTCTCAATGACAAGGGACGTTACCTATCTGACTGGGAATGTGACATGGACATCAACCCAGACTGTTACTACCACCAAACTGCAATTCACTGCATGAGAACAGGAGCTCCGAGGTATGTTATGGATTTAAAAAATGTAACTTTCATCTGATGTTATAGACCCCAGTAGCTAGTTATTTCCAAAAGCTGCTTCAATACTTTGACCTTTATATTATATCTTTTCGATTAAAAATGTCTTAAAAGTACTACAGAGCAAAGAAAATTACGTGTTTCTACAACAATGACAAATAAAAAATTTTAAAGTAAAGTAATGAGTAAGTAATGAGAAAATAAAATTAAATTAATTAGACAAATAAAAGCACTGAGAAAATTCCATGCACTCTTATACTGTACTAACATTTATTATTCATTTGTAGAGTCATTACCCACTCTGATAGGTAGAAAGCTGATTGTAAGAATGAAAGAAAATCAAAACCGTCCTTATAGTCAGTTATTTCATCGATCAGTTGTTCACGTTAATTCTAAAAGTTTGTATGTTTTGTAAAGTTAAGTTCTGTAATGTTAAGTTAGTATATTCTGCCACCAAGTCTTCAAACTTAATTGCAGAATTATTAATAAATCTAATAATTCATGCTTATGTCTTTTGCTGTTGTAGGAATATTGATAAATATCCCATTTAACAACAAATAGGATAGATAAGCTAAGAGATGCACGAATTATGAGTATGCTGTCCAAGTGTTTAGAATAATGAGAGTCTTTTAACTTTTCTCTACATTTACTTTGTATATTGCAAATACTTTTTACATTTGGCTACAAATAACATATTGCATTCATATATTTCCATCCTTTTTAAACGTTGTTAATCAAATCAAAGTTTCTAAATTTTAAGAATTCTTACAGTCATCGAACCACCGAGTTTGTGTTGCAGCGAATACAGCATATCTCTTTACTTTCTTGGCGACCCGAGAAAAAAATCATTGCCCTGACAACGAACTAATAGTGCAACAGAATGGCACAGGCTTTCCCGTATTAGTTTTCTATTTCCTTTGGTCTCAGCGAGCTTTTCTAACTTGCTCCATACTCTTACCAGCTGCCATCTTCGTCACGCAAAGTACATTTTTAAACCTTTACTTAATTTTTTCGGTTTCCTAATATTATAATGAAAATATTGTCTTAAGAATATTAAAGAACAGTAAAACCTCGCCATAAATGGCAATTTTCATTGAAAAATTTGGAAGCTGTTTTCACGAAAATGGCTTACACGCGTTACTGTAAATTCGAAATTTGAAGTTCTTTTTCACATTCCTTTTTAAATTTTTAAAAAAACTTCATTAAAAGTCTTTTGAAGAATAACGCACAAATACAGTAGTGTTTACAGATTGCTGGAAATTATGGACGTCCCGTCGAACACAACGGTAATATTGCGAGAAAGTATGTACTGTATGTACTGTATGAAAGTATGTACCACTAGTTTCGGTACGAAGGACGCACTAAATATGGATTCTGGTTACACCACGTGTTAGAGGATTTTTACATATATTTAGAAAATACATTTTTTCACTTTTTCATTACCAGGGTCCGGCAACAAGAGTTTTTCTGTCGAAAATTCGCTGTTTTCCAGCACACGATTACAATACTTACTCTTCTTATGTTAGCATGTGCGAGGACGTAAATAAAAACATGTTCTCAAAATCTGCAAACGTGTTTCTCAAAATCATTTCCCCCCTCGGATAGAACAAGAAACGCTCAAAGGAAAGAGTTACGGCTCATTTTTGTTGAACTCTCTGAATTTGAAAAAATTGCAAAAGTTAAAAATAAAGTAAAAACGACTGTTACTAAACTAAACTAAACTAACACTAGTTACTTCCTGTACAAGATATTCATCAATTCTCCTGATAAGAACAAGTAGCAAATTATTGAATTACGCATGCAATCACTTGTTCATATACTTTGAAATACAATTACACAGTAATAAACACTAATAAACGTATACCAAATAGGTTTTGATAAAATTTGTTTTTTTTTTACATTTTATTACAGTCATGAAGGATTAGAACAAATGTGCTGTTATGATAAAAATGGATATCTTATGTTATCATATGACCAAATGTGGGGATCTCGACCTTACCGTGCTCACAATTTAGGATTCCTTCCTTGGAATGAAGCTACAAAGGTAATTATGTACAGAAATGCAGGAAGATGTGCATATGCTTCCCCACCATTAGACAAATTTACGATTACAATTTATTATGTACTAAAATATCTTGGTTGTGTAATCTTTCTCTGAAAGGTGTGTTCTTGGATTCCAGGTTCCTACCTTATCCCAATGGTATCATGATATTGTTCCTTTCTATCAATGTTGCATGTGGCAAAGTGAACAAGCTGTAGGTTGTGAAACGTACCGGTTTGAAAGACGCCCCACTCAAGATTGCATTGCCTATCAGCCTCCTTCTATAGGTATGCTTAGAGAAAAATTAATGGTTTCACTTAATTAAAGAATATGATTGAAAACAGTAATGAAATGGTCATTTTTAAACTTTATATTCATATTTTAAGAACACTAATTGATTTTTAAGAACATTATTTAGTTATTTTTACTATAAGTAAGCGTTTGTTATCCACAGCTGCTGTATTTGGAGACCCACACATCGTTACTTTTGATAATCTAGAATATACATTCAACGGAAAAGGTGAATTTGTACTTGTACATGCCGATTCAAACAAGGCACAACTGGACGTTCAAGCTCGATTTGAACAAGTTCCCCGAAACATCTACGGAGAAGTGGCAGCGACTCAACTCACAGCTGTTGCAAGTACGGGGAAAAATGGCAAAGACTAAAATTCTGTCATGTTGTCTGAACATTATTTTATTTCTATTTATAAGAATATAATATAATTTATTGATCAGTAAGTCTCTCTAAACGTTCTAAAAAATTATACAACATTAAAGGAACACATAGAATTATTGGAAATTGAGAAAACTTCAAACTGTATATTTTAAACTTTAAACGCATTTCATTTTGTAGTTTTTTCCTTTGATATATCATTGTTTAGTGGAAAAAATGTCTCAACTTTGTCTGCAAAATTGTCTCATACTTTTTCATAAATATTGTGGAATTATAGTTTCTCATTATGTATACACTTCATGATAAATATCATGGAGTTTAACTTTGGAACTCATCAAAATGTAAATATTTATAAAATCAAAAATAAATGCGTAGATAAAATATCTATTAGATTTGAAACCATCGAGATGAGTTATATTTGTTAGTTTGTTAGCCGTGAAAACTTTAAAATTCCAAAAATATGTCGCCCGAGTAAAATGACTGAAATTGAATGTTGATTGTTCACAGCCAAAGATAATATCTCAGCAACAATTGAAATTCGTGTACGACCTGAACATGCTAGATGGCGCTATCATTTGGATGTATTTGCCGATGGTAGAAGAGTTTACTTTGATAGAGACTCTTTAAAAACTCAACATTTTCGTGGTATGTATTGGTATTTTTTTTTACCTTGGTACATTAAACATACTACATGCTACAGAAGGTGCTAACTTACTAATATTAGCTATTTAATATGATCTTCGAAACATTTATATAATTTAAAATCATATTCACGGTTGGGGCTATTTAGTAAAGTTCATTATTCTTTCATGTATTTCCTTAAAAAGAATTTTTGGTTCTTAATTACCTTAGTAATATAGTTTAATTCTTAATTACCTTTGGTGCTTAGTTACCTTACCTTACCTTACCTTAGTAGTTGAAGTGTCACTAAACACAGGAGGCATAGCTAAGCTAAAGCAGCTACAAAACTACACTGCTCTGCACGTGAGGATCACAAATGAGTATTCCCACCAACCCTGGACCACGGTTGAAGGGGAGTTTACTACACAAAAATGTTTTGAAGGTTTTCCATGGTAAAATTTTCTGTAACACATAACACATTCCCAAAGTATTTAATTTAGGTTATTTATTACTGCTGCAATCGCACGTGGGAGATTGTTTATATGGCTGGAGTTATTTAGCAAATGATTTACAGGATGTCTGCTTTGTCTTCTGTATGTTAGAGCACTTGAATCATATAAACTTGGTCTGTACGTATTTGGACTGTCAAGATTTCCAATCTTCTGATGTCATTCAACATATTGCCCTTCCATTTCAGTTTGCACCTTCCTTTCTTTCAGGTTAAAGTGCTCTCTTGGCTTGGTGGTGAAGTCGCTTGCAAGTCGCTTGCAAGTCGTTTGCAAGTCGTTTGCAAGTCGCTTGCAAGTCGTTTGCAAGTCGCTTGCAAGTCGTTTGCATGTCACTTACAAGTCGCTTGCCTTTCACCACTGTGGTTCCAGGTTCGATTCCAATAGAATCCCCGTAGAACCTCATGTGAATTTGTTACGACAAAGCGAGTGTGCCTGCTTCACAGGAGCTAGTCCAATCCCTGTAAAGCGTCCTAACACATATCGCATCCTTGATCCTTCTCAATCCTGGACGGTAGGTAGATGACGCAGCGCGAGACGTGGGTGCGAAGACGCTACCTGTTGACGATTCCCTGACTTGACTCTGACTGACGTGACTTGACAACACAGCGGCCTCTGTAGGGCGCTTATTAACGAAAAAAAGGGATCGGTTAATTTTTTTACTAATACGTTATAGGTTGTTATTGAATTCGATAGGGCACAACGTACCTGAATTGAGAGAATCGTAGTTACGAGGGAAATGTGAAGATAGTTGAATGATATACGTGTTCTCTAATGGAGAGAATGCTGCATTTTTGAGAGGGACATATAAAAAGACAAACAGAATCAAGTTAACAATTTTATTAATATGCCTGACAACCCATGTTCATCAGTTACTAGGAAAATTCTGGATCTTTCATTTTTAAGATTGATTTTTATTAACAAACTAGAATATTTCAGATATTTTTATCAGATATTTTTAAAATTACTATTTCATTACTTCTTAAAGCTCCGTATACCCCCAAAACAGTTAAAACTTTATCAAAAATGTAAATTTCGTTTGATGCGTCTTTTAAAAATGTCAGTATTTCATTTCTCGATAAAACTCCGGATTTCTCGGGTTCGTATCCTTTTGACTGTTTTTTTAAATCGTGCAAATGGTTGTAACTCGTAACATCAATATATTTTTCAAGGAGTAGCATTTTTCTTCGCATACAATATTTAGTCCACAGTGTACTTGAACTAAATTTCTTGGACGGCAAAAAGTAATAAACTATTATAGTACACAACAAATATGTATTTTTAGTAAAAGACAATATCAATAATACTCTGTTATTCAAATGAAATTAGCAAACAAAATATTGAAACAATGACAGCAACACAGTGTCATTAACAGCATTTATATTATTTTTTGTCATCTTTAACAACCAATTTTCATACTATTTTTATGAACGCCCGTGCCTTTTTGGGGGTAGCATATATCCGTATGTTTTTTTTCTTTTTTGCTTTTGCTTCTATCTCTTATGGAATATTTTCGTTTTCTCCATTTCCTCAAATTGATTCTGCTGCGGTCACAAACAAACGCTAACAGTAACAAACTAAGATCGCGTAACCACAGATTCAATCACATTACAAACCGAGTACAGTTAACATCTAGTTAAATGGTAAATAAGTATAAGTGAATAATTGAAGTGGAGTAAAAAATAAAATCTTATTTCACGGCCGTTAATAAATTAACGGGCCGTAACAACGCCCTTGGTACATAACTTACTATTACTGCCCTACTATACTCAAGATTTTCCAGAAATAAAGAATAAATTCTAGAGGAGCAAAACATCTCTTAAATGGATTAATTTACTATTGATCAAGGGTTTGTAGGGGTAAGATCTATTTGCAATGTCATCTGACGAAATCAATAGAATATGGAAATGCAGCAGTGACAATCTAGAAAGATGGAAATATAAAAGTGCTCAAAGGAGACAAAGACTCTCCTCAAATACATCCTCCAAATCACAAGAAAAGCGAGGCTGATAATGTAAAGTTGAAACTGAAAAGAACTGCAGAGCTTCATTCGGAAAGACCGCCTGTACAAATACTGAGAAATGAGTTGCACAGTGTTTTATCACGTGCTCTAATAAACTTACCAGAGAGAGATAGAGAAAACCTAAAAAAAGTCAAGGAGAAGAGAAACCCGTTACGACAAGCCGCCAAATCCCATATCTTTAACAAATTTAAATGAAATTCCAGTATGATACAATTAACTCTTCAAGGGGAAACATTCTTATCGCAAAATTCATATCACGATGTAACTAAAGATTGTTTTCTAACAAGGGGACAGGTTATCTGATGCATTTCTGTATGTTTTTATTTCTTTTTATCATGTTGTCACGGAATGTCATTTTTCAGGTGTCATTGTATACACTCCATCTTATATTCTCAACCAGTCTGAAGTAATCGTCATGTTCCAGTCAGGTGCTGGAGTTGAAGTAGTGGAAAATAAAGGATATTTATCTTGCCGTGTTTACCTTCCATGGAGTTTTATTGTAAGTATGCAAATTATTAAAATCTTACCTTAAAGCGTTTAATCAGGTATAAAGCAACAAGATACCTAATTTTACGTTGTTTTGAGTTATCAATTGTACCAAATAATACGAATGTTGCAATTAATATGAAGTGAGATAAACAATTTAATTTCTGAAACATTGATATTAGTAATAGAAGTCAAAAACTCATAAAGCATTATGTAAATCTTTCAATTGCTTAGCTCATTATTTACCAGTTCATCTATTAATTGGCCTTCATATAAGCAACCAATACTTTTGTATGTTATAATATGACAAAATCAAACAAGTAGACACACATGACAAGACGTTGCTTGTGGCTGCAGCAAAAAAGGCAGGAATATTTTTGATGTAGGAATTCTCTATTATGTCTAGCATTTAGAACCTTCAACACCATATAAATATATTGGTTGATTGACTGCAAACATGGATTAAAAGGTTTAAGTAAAACCCAACTACACTCAAGTGAAGAGACAAGTCATGATGCTCCAAAATTCTCCAAGAAAAGAAAAACAGGTCTATATCAGCAATGGAGCTTAATTTTCATGAGGATTCTCACTCGGGTTTCTATCTGCCTGTGCCAGCGTCACTTTGATGCACAACATGCCTGCCTTTGTCTCGCAGAACTCTCCCACTACTACCCTTGCTGTAGAAAATTGCCTGAGGGACATTGGGACAAAAGCTGACTATCATTTTGCCCAAAAAGAGCAAACAATATTTTATAACAAAGCAAACCTAATTACACTTCTCCAAATTGGTCAGTACATTGAAACAGCAGCGAAACTAATCCTTCCAAGGCCCCGTGTCATGGTAAAGGGAAATCTCCTCTGAAAATTTTGGAGGTAAAATGGCAAAGAAAACAGTAATGGAGCTACTACAGCAAACACTTTTTCGCATTATTAATAATTTTTGAACGTTTCAAAAATGCAAAGAGAGAGAAAAAATGACCTACGCCATTTTAATACTCTTACTTTACACGAATTCAGCTCTGAGATCAAGAAGCGTGAGTTGAAATAGGAGAAGGAAACATTGGCTGCTTTTCAGTCAACAGAGGAATCAGACAATGATATATCATCTCTCTAGGCCTGTTAATTTACACAGAAGAATCAATACCGGTGTAATAATATGAAGTATCGGTCTATGATTTTCAAATTTTCAGCTTTTAAATACTTAATCAACTTGATTACACGATTATACAAACGGTATATAACCAAATCAGTTGTTGTCTGTCTATCCATATGAACGAACAAATTTAATTTAAAAAATATTGTATCTATCAATACAAAATGTAAACACACTACAGAGACATTTTTGAAAATTGCACAAGTTCAAAACTTATCGGAATCTTCCTTCAATTACAATATTGAAGATAGAGATTTTCCTTAATTAAATCTGTTCCTTAAAAAATATCTTCACAAAGATCGTATACAATCTTTTGAAAATATGAGTAGTTTTCGCGAAATATTGTATGAAATGAAGGCAACTATAATATTTTTAAAAGCATATTTCTCTCTCTAAAACGACACTAAATATTTTCTTCAAACTTTCTCCTCATATGTATCACGAGGTGATAAAAGAAAGTAGTGCTAGTCTCATTTTCCACGAACTCTCCGTTTTTACGAAAATTGTAAAACACTATTTCAACACTACATAGTTGAAGATAGAGATTTTTGCCTTACAAAATGTCGATTCCAAAAACATCAGCTCTTTAAAAAAGATCATGAATAGTTTTTTTTTGAAAAAAGAGTAGTTTTCGCGGGAAATCTGGGGTTTCAACGAACATGAAATCTGCGCCAACACCATTGCGGTCTCTGTCTCTTATTGTTGGATTTTAAAATCTTTTGGTCGGAGAAAAAATAAATACTTTTGAAATGTAGTATTAGAGAAAATTATGGAAAATCCATTAGACACACAAATCTATTTAGGAAGAAGTGAAGCCTGAGTGTTCTTTAGAGGCTAGACCACTTAATCAAAAATTATCTTCCTTTAGACACATTACAAGGAGTTGGAACTTTTTGGAAAAAGACAAGAAGTTGGGAATAATGGACGAAACTAGAAGACAGTAACTGTGATGGCATGAGTCAAAATGTAAGCAATTTGACATGGATAAAAGCAATCAATAAGGTACAAGACGGAATAGGATGGAGACAACTCACAAAGGTGGTTACAACAAAAAGGAAAAATTGATTTGGAGAAGAGGCAGGCAACCAGTTACTTTGAATATCTTCTTAAAGAATAATCAAGAACCACATGTGATCTATGTGTTACTACTATTTATTCACTTTTCGAGAAAAAAATAAAGAAAAAATTGTAACTATTATTGAGAAAACGTGTTTTTAAATTGCCTTTTTATATTTAATTTTGTGAAAATTACTCACATTTTGAAAAAAAATTGTACATGACCTCCTCTAAATGTCAAATTTTAAAGAACAGGTATCTTTAGTATGAACTGTTGATCACCATTAGTTTTAGTATCCTACAGTCCTCAAATGTTCACAGAAAATTAATCTCTGGAGCATTATAGCTTCTTGATGGATGAAATAATTCTCCAACTTGTAAATCAAGTCAAACATTTCTCTTGTATTTTTGTAAACTTTTGAAGATAATTATGTTGGCGGTTGCATTTTGATGCAAGACTAATCGGGATCAAGTAAGTATCGTTTGAAACTTAGGGATGGTCTGGAAGGAGTATACATTCATATAAAATTCGACGTTTACTCCACACCAGAAGAAAAGATACTAGTAATGTTAAAGTCTTAACGCAATATTGCCCGAAAAATCCAATGTTGTTGTGTGTTTCAATATAACTTAACATAATTTAGTTTTTTAAACCAACATACTATGGTACAGATTAAACGGATAATTACGGATATTTATAAAACGGATATTTATACCTTGTTAACAAGGAATAATTTATTCATCCTTTGAATTTGTCTGTTAATTTGTAATAACTTGCTTCTTTGTACTCGATGTAGAATCAAACACGAGGATTATTTGGTAACTGGAGCTTTGACATGACAGATGACTTTACTTTGCCTAATGGATATGTGGTGAATATTGGTAATAACTTGAACAATTTTGAACGAGTGCACAGGGATTTTGCCTTGGAATGTAAGTATTTCATGTTTTACTATTTCAAAATTATTAAGATTTTTCTTCTGATTGCTTCTAATGTTTGCTTTGTTTTTTAGGGATGCTAGAAGATAAAGATAATGAAGATATAGGAAAAGCACTGTTTACTAGAGAAAATATGCGTGCATCAAATTATTATGGAAATAGATCATTTGTTCCAGAGTATAGAAAAAGCATATACGAAATTGTGCCAACAAATAGGTTTGTATTTTTGTCATTTGTAAATATTCTTTAACTCGCAAATATGCGTCTGTTTCAAACTTTAAAAAAAGCTAATAGTTAGATAGACAGAAGCAATTGTGAAAAGAATGTGGTTCGTTACTTTTATTACTGGATTTTCGATTACCTACAAACCAAGTCTTCCTTTGTTTTGAAGAACTACATTCTTACATTTACATGAAACTATATAGTAACAAATATAATGAAAAGTATCTGTATTCAAAACTATACATTTTCATTTAATATTGAAAAATGTTATCTCAATTAGGGTTTCCATTTGAAAGTGAAAGAGGTTTTCAGAATGAAAAAGAAATATAAAAGATGAAAAAGGAAAAGAGAGAATTGTACAAAAATTCAGTCAATTTATACAACGGTCAATATGTGTCATTTATTTGATGATGTCTGATACATCAGTTGTGACGTCAAAATTCAAAATAATATTTTGATATTATATTCGTATTCAGTGATCCCAAAACTCTAGAATACCTGTTTTCATGTCAAAACATTGAAAAATGTAAATTTCAATTTTACTAATTATTCGCTTACAGAATTGTCCCATTACAAATTCAAACAATATAATAACAAAAACAAATACAAATAATTCAGTAACACAATAACAAAATGAGCATAAGATACAAAATAATTGAGAGAACAGAACATACCATCTACACAAAACGACGTCTTATCAAGTGAGGCTTGACTCGTTCCAGATAGGTTAAGGTACTAATAATTAAAGTGCTCTTAGAATGTACATTGAACTATTCGTTAATAATAAATGCTTGTAATTTGAGAATTGATGAAATAAATATGTAACAATTGGGACAATCAAACAATTGGGAAAGGATATTACTCATTGTGGTTAGGTCCTCTAAGCCCTTTATAAATAGGACACTCACATAAAATATGTTTTAAGTTTTCATACGTATTCATATTATATAGCGAGGAGATTGCATTTGAGTGTATTTTGTGTCACATATTTCTACTGCTGATGTTGATTTCTTTGTCTCTGGACATCCCGATTAGAGAGACTACTCTAGTAATGGAAGCGCGACATGTGCGCGACCAAAGCTCGAAGAAACACTTCAATCGAAAAGACCGGTGAGAAAGACGACGCTGTTAAAATGTCTCACGCTGCACAAAATGGTGGAAGGCAGTGAAATGCGTGCTCATCTGAATACCTTTTTTGATTCGGTCGACAAATTGGGTGATATGCACATGGCGATCAATCCCGATTTGTTGGCAATTTTACTGTGCCCGCAAATTTCGAAACTTTCGCTGTGAGATTGAAACGCGAGATGAATTGCCGCCTCTTGAAGCACTTAAAATTAAAAATCGGGAAGGACGTACCGCGCGAAAACGTGTTGCGTGATGCACACCGCCGGATACGGCGTTTATTAAGAAAAATGACAGTTTGAAAATAAATAAGTGCATAAGTGACAATCCAAAGGACGGTTCCGTGATGTATCGTTGTTACAAGTGTAAACAACCAGACCACAAGGCCAAGGAGTGTCCAAAAATAAGAGGGAGAAAGTGCAAGTTCCGCGAAAAATTTAGCAAATTTAGCATTAGTTTTTTACATAGCATCTCAGTTGGTTCCGAAACTGGTGCTTGGACAACGAAGCAACGACTCACTTCGGCAACGAGTTCGAGCATTTTAGCGAAATAGAGTCAAGTTCTGAGACATTAAAACTTACTAATAATGCGATGTCCGTAATGACTGGTGAGGGTAAAGCACAGTTGGTTGCGCACAAGAAAGTACACGAAATACGTCACGCTAATGACGCGCTCTACGAACCGGTCATGGCACAAACATCTACCGGGCTGTAAAATCACGGATCGCTGCTACAAAGTTATTTTCCGGAAGAATGAAGCACTTATAAAAGAATCGAACAAGGAGGTCATATTGGAAGCCTTTAGAATCAACAATATTTACTACATTCAAGAATCGAAGCTAAATGGATATATCGCTTCACCTGGGGATAAGAAGAATCAAGTTCCTCTAGATATTCTGCATTGACGCCTAGGGCATGCAAACGTGTGAGCTATCCAAGATTGAGTTAACAGAAATCGCTGCAAATCTGCGACGTCTGTCTGTAAGGCAAGTAGACCATGACAAATTCACCCAGAAAGTCAGAAAGACAGACGAAGATTGTCTCCAATCTTGGATTTAATACACATCGACGTCTGCAGACCAATGCGGACAGGGTCCCTCGCGGGGGCGAAGAACTTCGTCGAATTCATAAATGACAGCACTTGATAGTAAAGTACCAAATTCTTGAAGACCAAGGATGCAAGTTTCAAGATATTTTCGATTTTTTGGCACGCGTCAAAAATAAGAAAGGTACGACAATAAAATACGCACGGGCGTGAGTATTTGAGTACTGAATTCAACAATTTTCTCTCGGAAGATTGGCATTTCGAGAAGACTCTCAGTTCCCTACAATTAAGAGAAAAACGGAGTCGCAGAACGGAAGAATCGCACACTTTTCGATGCCTAATGCACACAGATGCCTAATGGAATGCTTAGGCACACAGATGCCTAATGAAGGACGCAAATCTACCTGGTAATTTTTGAACAGAGGCAGTTAACATTGCAAACTAGTTTCGCAATCGTCTACCGACGAAGAGTTTAAATGTCAAGACACCGTTCGAGGCATGGACCTGTGAAGCTCCAGATGTCTCCAATCTGAGGATATTTGGAAGCGAGGTCTATTAGTTAGACAGACGTCCTGGGAAAGGAAACTTCACCTGTCGTATACAAGATATTTCTGGAATATGCTAAGGAATCCAAAGCTTATCGTATTTGGTATTTCGGGATAGGACGAGTGCTCATAACTCGCGACGTAAAATTTCTCGAAGACGTCAGATCAGTCGAAGAAACTAAAATTAAAGTGGATCCAGTGAGGATCGATGTACGCCAAGATCTGAAAGAGTCTCGACAATTCGCAGAGATCGAATTTTCATCGGAATCAGCGAAACCTGTTCCGGAGTCCGATACTTCTGATGATGAGGATTTTCTTGGTTTCGACGTATCCATCCAGACAGAAATATCCTCGCCAGGTACAGGCCATTTAGCGCTGAAGATACTGTTTCTGGGGGTATTCTACTCGAGAAATCGAACGCGGTCGACCAAGAACAATCAGGTCTGGTTCGAGGGGAAGACTAAGAAGACACACCGTTTTGCATGAGGTCGAAGACTCAAGTGACGAGCAATTTTTTCTGTCCGAATTACCCATGAGAGAGGCGTTAAATAGCGATAGATAATAAAACGCGAACCAATGGCGACAGGCCATAGTGGCCGAAATTAAGTCCATCCTAAAAAAATTATACTTGAGATATCGGCGGTCGTCCACCAGAGCAGAAAGTTGTGGGATGTCGAATAGTTCTCAGAAAAAAGTTTAATCCTGATGGATCGTTAGAGAAGAGACAAACGTCACTGGTGGCCTGAGGATTTAGTCAGCCACCAGAAGTTCATTACTCGAAGACATTCGCACTTGTGCTTTGGCTCGAAAAAATACCATTCGATTAGTTGCAGGTCTTGCGGCGAGCCACAGAATGACGACACGTCAATTTAGACGGTGAGACCACGTATCTCATCGGAGTTATTGAGGAAATATACATGCACACAACAGGTAATATTCAAAAAGTTCTGCAAAATGTAAATTCTGAAGGCGTAAGTAAAGTTAGTGCGAGGGCGAAGAATATAATCAAAAATCTTTGCAAAGGTGTCACGGTATGCCGTTTGAAGAAATCCTTGTACAGGATACGCCAAGCGCAATGGAAAGAGTTGGTAAGCGAAACTAAACCTAACAATGAAGAAGTTGGAAGTCATCCCTTCTAAGTATGATCTTTGCTTATTTATCATCGGATTAGGGGAAGACATAACTTTCGTCGCAACTTACGTTGATGATATTTTGATAGCTTCACGCAACGAGGTGGCCACAAAGCTGACGAAGGGACTATCTGACCATTTCGACGTCAAGGATTTGTGCTTCATCAAGCACGGCCTGGGGATAGAATTCGAGCAATCGGATGGGCAAGTGACGTGTATCAGCGAGACTACATCCAGGATCAACTGTTGCGATTAGGTATAATAAATTGCAAAGTGATACCTACCCGTGTGGATCCAAGTGTCAAGTTGTTGCAAAACTCACCGAAATAACTGTAAAACTTAAAGCTCCCATACCGTGATTTTGTTGGAATCTCTTACTTGACATCTACCACACGGAGCGACATTGCCTTGCTGCAAGCTATTTAAGACAGTTTAATAAATATTTTGGTTATGATCATAAGAAAGCTCCCAGACGTGTTCTACGTTATCTAAAAGACTCGATCAGTCTGGGTCTGGGATACGGTTTAGATCCGGAATCTTTTAAAGTGTACCGCTAAGCTGACTGAGGGAACTGTCCCGAAGATAGAAGGTCGTACTTTGGTTTCCTATTTTTTGCTGTACGCGGGCAAATCTCATGGGACTCGCGAAATCGAATGCAGCGGACCGTTGCATAGAGTTCGAGTTTATGGCTTTGTCTAGAGTCTGTCAAGGACGGCATTTTCCTCAGAAAGTTTCTTAAAAAAATGGGTTTCTTGATATTTAGTACCTTGACAGATTTCTGTGGCAACCGTAATTCACTGAAGTTGGCTGAAAACTGGACCTACCACGCCAGGAGCAAGCGCATTGATGTGCGTTGTCATTTCGGACAAAATGCGCTGAAGAGGAAGAAGTTTAAGATCTTCCACGATCCTACCGAAGACCAGTCAGCAGACCATTTAATCAAGGGCCTAACACGCTGCAAACACCAACTCTGTATTGGACTAGCCGGAATGCGTCTTTTGAGTGGTGATTTGTGCGGCAAATGACTCAAGGGAAAGTGTTAGATATTGTGTATGCTGTATGTGCGAGTAACGGTTGGAAGTTTTTGTTTGTAGTGTTGTGCCTAACGTATCCATTATGCACCAGTACGGTGCTGTTTGCATAACCTCGTTTGATCTGTCTTAATTCATTCTGTTGATCCCAGATATATGTTTGCCCTTGAGTTGGGCGTTATATTCGATTTGTGTTTCGTTATAACTGCCTTTCCAACATTTATCCAAACAGGTTGAAAATTTCAACATTTTCACCCCTTTTTTTCTCTGACACAAACATTTTTACCGCTATTGCCAAACCAAACCAAACCAAACCAAACCAAACAAATGTTAACCATTCGCACCGTTCATTGTAACACAAAAGACAGTTTATTATTTATGACAACTGTGGACTCATATATATAGTTGATATGCTCGGTTATAATATCTAACACATTTTTATGTACATAATTTACATAATATTATGTCTAATTTGTTTTGCTCTTTTTAGGTCTTCAAGAAACAAAGACATTGAAGACGCTCTAAACTTTTGCGGAGATTCATATCAATGCCAATTTGATTACGCACTCACTCTCAATCGAGAAATGGCACAATTCACCAAATTTTATCAAGATCAATTCTCTAATATGAAAGCAGAAAATGAAAAACATGGTGAGTTTTTACATTATATTACAGGCCAGGGGTGTTCAACTTGCAAGGCCTCAAGGGCCCCGACTAAAACCTTTAATATGGCTGCGGGTGTAGCACACGTGACACCTATTTTTTGATTTCGGTTTGTCTGGATGCTCTGAAACAAGAGGGGGGATTAGATCCATGTGTGATATCAGGTCGTACCATGCATAACGCAGTGAATCGCATTAGAATGTTTTTGAGCTGAATTTACTAGGGGAAAAATTCCTTAAATCTAAACTTAACGTATTTTACGTTAAAGGAACGGGGCAGGGCACGTGCGCTATTTTCACTTAATATTCTCGCCCGAGATGGATGGCAAGAGGCTTTCACGTTTGACTAATAACTTTTCGCGAGCCACAATTAACGGCACCGCGGGCCAGCTGCACAACGCTGTTATAGGCAAACGTGACGAATGAAAAGTTATTTTCAGAGATGCTCAGGTGGCTTTCAAGGGCAATCTTGCTGCCATTTCAGCCATTGCTTGTTAAGCTTCCTCAAGGTTTGACTACTTGACTGCTTGATTGTATCATGCCCCAGAACAAGGTCAATACGACAAACGAAGTATGGGCTATACTAATTTGGATATGCAAAATAATACTTTCAGGCGCAGAAAGCTTAATTTTATGCATACAAGTTTTGAGAATGTTTTGTGATTTTCTTCAAAATACGAGCAAATACTTATGAGATTGGGTTTTTTGTTCACTTGATTACTGACTTAGCATTGTCGTATAATACTATTCAGAATCAACAGTTTTCAAAGTTGTGATATGATATTTTCCATTTTAAAATATTAAAACGTTTTTTAATAATTCTCTACTGTCACGAAGTCGTCCTTTCGACTGCGGTAAAAGTGAGTCGTCTTACCTTTCGACTAGCTCAGAAGGTAGAAAGGTGGCCTAAAACAACGAAGCTCTGCGTAGCGAATTTTAAGGCGGGCGCGAGCACGTTTAAGTCTTGGCGCCGGTGAGGCGTGCGAGAGTTCTTTGTGGCAGGCCACTATAAGTCAACTACCGAAATTAATATTATTTAAATATAAAGGATTCGGTAACACTACACTACCTTTAGAAAAGAAAATAATATCATTGTTTTGTTACAGGTATAATTTTAGATAATTGATTGTGAAAATAAATAAATAAAGAGTTTAAAAAATATTTTTCTAAAGAGAAGCAAAATCTTCATATATTAGACCTTAGGATGTTGGAAGAAGGAAAAGAAGAATACAAGTTTATAATGTACTTGTTAATTGTGATTTATTTTTTTCAGTTGTATCATGTGGAGTGCTAGAGACACCACGCTTTGGAAGAAAAAGTAATTTTTATTTTACTCCTGGATCCAAAGTTACATTTGAGTGTGATGAAAACTTCATATTGATTGGAGATAAAAGAAGAACATGTAATGCTAATGGGCAATGGGATCTTCCAGAATACGGATACACTGAATGTTTACGTAAGTATAAAGTAATCTGATAATCAACACCAGAATATTTACAATAAGTGTTTATACAATAACAAAGGGTAATAATAATATTTCTTAAACGTTTATAGTTATGTTGAAAAAGGTGGGGTTTTAAATGCAAGAGAAAGTGTGTTTTTTAAATTAATGTAACTTTGAGATTAATAATGGCAAAGATCATTCATCCTTTCCTTTATTTGTCCAGTAATTTTCACTTTTGAGTATTAGTGTTGATTAATGAATTCTTCATTAATTCAGAAACATGTATAATATTAAGAGTTTATTGTAGTTTTGAACTTTCGTTCATAGAAGTCACAAGCAGGCAAAATGGGTGGAGGCGTGTCTCCCAGCAGTGATGCCAATACTTTGGATAATGACACAAAAAATATATATTTCAATTTAGAATACTTTCCCATTATTTTGATCAAATATGCATAAATCATCAAATATAAACGAGTCTACAAATGGAAATATCTTTGCATTTGATAAGAAGTATTATAATCATTAGTCAATTGCATTGGGAGAACTCAAATTTTGAGTCACAAGTTTTTTCTCATTAATTATTCGTGAATATTATATGGTTTTAATTTCTGTATAATGTATTTCTATTAACAAAGAGTCTTCAACCAAAGCAATTATTAATAAAATAATCCAAGAATTTCCTCCTAATTTGTCACAGGACACCAGGAATATTCCTCCCGGCAAGTTGGTATAATTAGTGGTATTATCCTGGGCATCTTGGTACCAATAATATTTATAATTGTTCTCATATATTGCTGGCTAAGGAGGAAAAAAGAAAAACTAGAGGAACCAGCTCCTTCCTGGAAATATGATTGGCAGGTATCAGGAAGTCCAACTGACACAAAACAAAGAAATTTTTCTGATGAAGGAGAAAGTGCAAAGAAATTGAGTACTAGTACAAGTAGCAGCTTATCCCCGGAGAAGAAACCCAAACATTATGACGGGGTATATTACACAAATGAGCCACTTCCAGGGAAGCCACCTGTTGATTTTGAGGAGAAGGTGTGGGATTTAGATGACGACGTCTCGCCCTCAACTAGTACAGCTGCTGAACCTTCAGTGTCGAGTGAACCATCAGTACAAAAAAGTCGTCAAACTGAAATCTATTAAATTTAAGCAATTTTTGTCTCTGAAAAAGCAAGTTATTACATAGGTGACATTATTAATAGTTATTTTCTTGCTGCATTACCAAATCAAATCATGCATCAAGTTTTTTGCGCCAAGTTAAAAAAATTTTGTGTTTATTTTAGTGAAATATTAGTTCATGTATATTTACTGAACAAAAATTTTCTTCAATCAAGAAGTTGATTTATTAATGTTTTGTGTAGTATAGTACAAATGTAATAAGAAAGATATTTGCTTGTAAAACAGAACTTTTTTTATTAAAATAAAACATTTCTTAAGAATTGCTTTATTTTGCTTTGAAAAATTGTCTATTCCACATTTCTGAAGGTTCAGTCTTGTAGACAGGATAGTTTTTTAAAAGTCGTTATTGTTGAAACTGATTGACAAAGACCCATATTAGTTTATTTTTATTGGTACCAAGAAGCTCAGATATGTGGAGTGGAAAATTTTCCTTTTATACTTTGCATAAAGAAAATATTTCCATTCTGTTTACCATTCCATCCCCAATCTTCCTTGGAGCATTTAAATGAATATATTGTAATAAATTTTCAAATTTTTGCATTTCAAATTTTATATAATAACAAAGTTATTATAACATGTAAAAGCTGAAAATATTTGAAAATGATTGAAAATATTTGAAATGATTGGCCAAATTAAATTTGACTTTTTTTTTAATCTCCCCCATATGTCACAGTTTTTACTGGTTTTGTTAACTAAATAACTCTAAATCTTTAAAAGGGCATTTAAATTTCAATTCTACAGATCTTTAAATAATTGCATAGAGATTTAAGAAAAATATTACTAAAATTATTAACTTGCATTTACAAAGTTGCTAGAATTAAACAGGTGAAAATTTCAGATCTGTATCACCTGCATCTGTTCGTCCAGACACAATTCATTCTAAATCATGAGGGATAACAGAAAGGACTCATGAAATTTCAATGTAGAATTGTCATAAATTCTTTACTTTTAATAAGTTAGTTTTAGACAAGTATTTGAATTCTTTTATTCTGATTCTTATATTAGGTTACACTGGCATACAAAAAAAGGTGTCTGACCCAAAGACTTGAAACATGTTCCTCTGTGTAAGTCAATGTCCTGAATCGGAATCTGAATCCAGAATTGTGACATCACCCTCCATTTTTTTAATCGCGAAAAACACTTTGAAATTGAAGATTGTAAATTTCACGAAGTGTTTTTCCGCCATAAAAACAACTGGAGAATGATAGATCATTTCTGGATTCAAATTCGGATTCAGTGTGTCAAAATACATGGAGAAACATATGTCAAGTCTTTGAGTTTGAAAACATTTTTATGTGTACATCTGTTATCGACTATGTAATACTTACTACTTAATAATGCTTATTACTAATATGGGTTCAAAAACAGGTCAGCAGGAGTACTCATCACGACAAGCTGGTATTACATCAGGGATTATCCTTGCTGTGTTAGTACCGATTGTACTGGTCATTTTGTATGGTGTATATAGAATAATACAGAGAAACAAGGAGAGGAATCAAGATAGTGATGATGACACAACAAAAAATGACACTTTGAGAAGGTAAGAGAACAATAAATTCATTGATTAAATATGTAAATCTCAGAACAAAGGGCATTCAATAAATGAAGCATGAGGCAATTAACAAAAGAAATTCAAATTTTGCGTTCTAAAGATTATTCGATTATTATTAAAATTATTTAAAATCCAATTTAGATGATTGGTTAGACACGGATGCCATAGATTTATATCATATCTGGTCTTATTGTCTGTTTAAATCAAATAATTGTATTTGATCCATTATATAAAAAGAATGTAATGTGTGTATGCATGTATGTTCCACAAAAACTTTTGAACCACAGGAGCGTGTGCTACCAAAATTTTAAAAATAATTTTAGTAATTCAAGAAAAAAATAAAGAGAGGATTACAATTGAAAAAGTTACTCAAAATAATATATTTCTATTTAAAATTTTGTTTATTGCAAACTACAAAGGCATCTAGGCAGCATCTAGAAGTTAGCATTTTCATAAGATTCTATCCAAAAGTGCGTGTCACTGAGAGTAACTAGCGCCGATCTTAGTCTCGATAGAAGCTCGCTATATCCTGTCCGCCGTACAAGCAACTCGCAAAATGTCTGCCTCTTGAGAGAGCACAAGCCGCGCCCTCTCGAGATTACCTCTCACGTGCCTGTCCGCTGGAGAGCAGTAGGCTCGCGATTGTCAGTTCAGTTAAGATGGAGGCGAAGATGAGAGCGGGGGCGAGTTTCATCATTCAATAAGCTTCTTTTCAAAAGAAGTTCATGGGTGAGAAAGTGGATTGACTGTCAAACAAATATGAGTGCTTTCTTGACACTAGTCAAAGAATTTGAAACAGAAGTTGCGCAAGATTTTAGACAATTTTGCTTACCTGGTTCCGTATAAATTATGAATTTTCATTTTAATTTCTCGTATAAGCCAGGCGCGGTTCCGTGGGTAGGGAAATGAGGGACCCCCCCTAAAATTTTTCTGACTAGCGTGAGACATTTTACCAAAACTGTAATATGACACATTAGACCAAAACATTTCGAATTTACTGTCCCAAAATTTGTCTCTGAATCCGCCCCTGTACAAGCATAGCAATATATGAGGTATTGATAACGTTAAAGCACTATTAGATGACGTCAATTAAATTGTGATTTGAAATAACTTATATTCAAATATACTTGATTGATTGCAGAAGAAAACTTGTCAGAATGCTACAGAATGTCACTGACTTTCCCGTATTAGTTTTCTATTTCCTTTGGTCTCGGCTAGCTGATCAGACCTGCCACATTCACTTACCACCTGCTTCTCCAGCCCAGTCTGTGTGCGCAGCTAGGAGAATCAAACCTTTACACACCAAAAGTGAATGACAAAAAGTAGCTTGTTAAGATCTAATACACTAGGTAGAGAAAATCGCAGCGTTTTTCAACCAAAACATTCAACCTTTCGTAAAACAAAAAATTACACGCACACGCATCCACAACTCCTCTCGACTATTTGATAGGCTCTCTCAGGGCCCTATAACTCCCATATAACGTGGTGGGGATGTGGGCCCTCTAGTGTAGTAGTATCTCGTTTGGCCACTCTAAGCCCCCCTTATCAGTAAGAAACTGAACGTCCCCGTTTGGCCTGCCCTCCTTATTTCAAATAACTTTCCCCTATACCGGAATGTAAGAAGCTTCACAAGAGCAAAATAATCCTCAGGCGCCATATTGTAGTTGCTACGGAAACTATTACATTGATGGTTAGAGCTAAATGTAGCTATACGCCAGAACTATGTTTCATCTAAGAAATCATATATGCAGCGCATGACAACTTGGAAACACGAGTAGGCGATATTAGATACAGTGGCGATAATTTATTCACTAACCCTATCTGTTGAATTCAATGAGATGCTCCAAATGGTTTGATATTTGATTCTTTACATATGCTCCTTTAAAAACAGTTCAAAGTTGCGGCTTCTTAGCACATGTCTTGATGGCATCACGATGTGTCACTAAATGTGACTCTCCACCCTGCAATTCTTAGTTAAGGTTGTTCATCTAGTCAGAAAATCTGACTAATAAACTAACATTACTTGAACACTGATTTTCCAAAAAGGTATTATTACGTCATCTAGGAACTCAAATAACCTTGCCAACATATTTCCTTCGGAGAGTGAGCGTACTCGCGTATGAAATAAGTGTTTTGTGATTTGTCCCTAAATCTTTGCAAAAGTGTAGTACTTAAGCGCAGAATGTGATGTAATTAACCACTTTAATACATAACTTTAAGACATCATTAAGTTCGTTTAGAAGCGTCTTAGCTGCTGCCAAGGAGTGACGGTATATGAAACAATGAAACGCAGTCACAACAGCATTTTTCTCTCTCACAAATTGCACAAAGCCGAGCACACCAAACATTGAAAAAACACAATTGGTGCACACACAATCAATTTTTTCCATTGACGTTCGTATTTGTCAGACTACTTTCATCACATCAACAACTTTTGTAGTTGTTGCCAACTCTCTCGAAAACAGTACGCTGTTTTTCATTCGTTTTCAATACATTGAACATAAACTATTAACTGAGAACATAGTGCAATGTCTGTACTCTCGTTCATCTGTTCTGCAAAAGCGGTGATTGTTTTATTCCATCAACTATTTAATTTTTATCTCTTCAGTTATATCGTCAATATGGTGTTTTACAGTACTGTCCGAAGGAGGTATTTGTATATAATAATTTGTATCTACTACCTGTTCCAAGAACAATATCAGCTGCCTCCAACAGGCATGGAGCGTCTCTCCAAGAATATGACTTTTCCTTTGCCTATTAGTAAGAAGTGACAGTTCAAATGAAGCTCTAAGAACATTTCCCGGTGAATGAGCTACAAATACAGTGCTATACAACCTAATGCATTTTAAATTTTCAGACTATGCGGGAACCGCACTTTAGTCTGTCCATCACAGAAAAATGTTTAGTTGGCAAATGTCGGCCAAGACTGGGTTTCATGCCATCATAGCTCAATACAGCATTGGAGTAAAATTCCGAACGTGTTTATGTGCGATTGTGCGGTTCCGGCACTCGCAGATAGATCACTTCCCGTGAATCAATCAAGACGTATGAGGTCGTATTCGACATATCTCGATCACCTGTCGGTCAACTGATAATTTGTTTCTGGATCCGGCCAGAAGATTCAAAGAAATTTCCAAAAACGTATATTTCGTGTTTTGGTGCAGCAATTTTAGTGATATAGCCAGGAATTAAACCAACGCCTACTAAATCAAACTGTGTTGTTGATTAACCCCAGTACCCAAACGTACTTTCGCACAATACGCCTTAATTTTCTTTTACGACGTTGGCAACACGGATGTTGACATCTATAAGTGAACAATATAATTACCGAGTAAATCGCGCTGCAGATTGATTTCAATTTAGATTCAAATTATCGTATTTTTAAAAATAAATTTGCAAAAACCTTAGGCAG